GTTTGTTTTGAAAAGACCATGCAAAATTAGTTGCTTTTACTGACCAAGCAAGAATAACAACCTTGAAGTAAAGTGTTTCCATAAGATGTTCAGCAACCTATCTACACATGAAAACAGATGGGAGAAAAACAAGCACATATGTAAAACAAATGGCATGATGTAACACAAAGTAACAGTCTGGGGCTTCTATCACAGTTTCATCCTAAAATCTATTTTCTTAACCTTAACATTCATTTTTAAAATATCTTAAAATATCTTAAAACAAGGAGATGTCATTTGATTAGGCAATATTTCTCTGAATTCTTAGGTGAGGTAAACAACCTATAAGAGTATATAAGGTCGCACTTTGCCTATTTGTCCCACTTTGGGCCTTACAAAGTGTGTAACTGTTCCTACTACAGAAATAAACCCCTTTTTTGCCTAGTCCTTGTTCTGCTTGCTTTTATTAATTTGAACCAATCCTTTAGACTACAAAACTCACTTTTGTGACATTAAGAACCAATGGAATAAGGTAGACAACCCTGTTTTGCATAAACCAGTGGATCACAGTTAATTTCATACCTGAAAATGTGTGGCTTTTAAACTCCAACTGACATTACAGAGATTCTGGTTTCATTTATACTGAATTCCATGGTATTTAGTTGGCAAAGATTTAAATACATCTGATTTAAATATCGCTAATTGCTGTTGCTGCCGTAATTATCCTCATGCATCTTTTAAAGATGTGGTCTGGTTATACTCCATGGTGGTCTCCTTTGGGACAATTTTCATCGGTCAAATTAATTTTGTTTTCTTGCAATCTTAGAATTTTGTGGCCAGACACATGCTCATGAACTATTTGCCCACATCTTAGAAATTGACATTTAGCCAATTAAATGGATTCTCCATGCCCTTTCAATAGTTAAAAAGTTGTATATTGCAGCGCTGGAAAGACAAATGCTCATGCCATTATTCAACGGATGAAGGACATTTCAACATTTGAAGGTACAGAACACAGAATTCATCTATATAGGCATGCATGCTTAGATATCTGTTCATCTTTTCAAGATGTTTTTGAATAGTTTCTAGCTAATGTATTTTCAGTTTATTATCTGCAGGCTTATTCTTCTTAATTAAGTTGGTTTTATTTCTTTTTAATTTCTTGTTTTTAATCTTAATATGATTTTTGCTCAGTAGAGAAGGAATGGAAATAGCAAAAGAGATGTATATTTAAAGAATAAGATTTTTTTAAAGAGTACATGCCTGAGTTTAATTTAAACTGACTGAGGAACTGAAGGTTATAAAGTTGACACTTCACATTTGTGGATTTGATTAGTTGTGGATTTGATTAAAATGTTTTCTCTAAGAATCTCTACATCCTCCAGTGTGACTGTATGGCCAACTTCTACTCTGGGAGCAGCCAAACCAGGTGGCAGAGGAAAGGAAGAAAAACAGGAGATTAAAAACCCTCATTCATGTCCCCCCTCAATGACATGATTGGGAGCTAGGACAATACCTCCCTCCCCCCCAATATTTCTAGTTCACCAAGGGCTCAGAAATAAATATTTGATTTCTTCTGATTTTTTTAAGACCTCAAATCATCAGAAGATTGAGACTGAACCAGCAGCAGCTGTAAACCCCTAAATGTTATGTTTCTAACTCTTTAATAAATTGTATCTATTCTTCATGACTTTTTGGGTAACTTGTATCATTCTGTGAGCTATATTTATCTCTTGCATATAAAATGTATAAACTGCTTTATAAAATGTCTCAAGGCATAACCCAGAGACAGTCAACTCTCTATGATCTGGCAAAGATAATTCCCTGAAAACAGAAAGGCTGGGCAAACTCCTCTGACTGTTTCCCAAGCTAAGTAGTCACCAGGCCTATTCTTTATGTGTAGGCAGAGATAGGTGACTTCCTGTGTCAGCACAGATAAACCCAAATCTGTTTGTCTAACTATATGGTTCACTTAAAGCTGAGAGATTGCTGCCTGCAGAAACAGAAGCTCAGAATATGTGCATTTGTTAAACCTCTTTTATTGAAAGTCAAACCCATGAATATCTGAGATCAGCACCTTTGTCCCTTGATCCCTAAGATCCATATCTTTGTTTGGCACAGAACTGGACATTTGAATTAATCAAAAGCCCATCAGCATATCTTTACCATTTGTTTTCTCCAGACTGTGACTTTCCAGGGGACATCTCTGCAGCTGATTAGTCCTTCACTCTGACCAATCACACGGGCTGTCATTCTCCCTCCCAGCCAATCCTGGCACAGATCCTAGCCTGTCTTTTTTTTTTTTAGCCAATCAGGGGAGGGAGCAGGAGATCAGAATAGCTGTTAGAACTGTCTTGTATTTCTCTGTATGTTTATGCTTTAACATTTTGAAGCAAATTGCTGTATTTGCATTCTTTTGGCCTGTCTTCAACCTAGTGAGTTGTTTTTCTGTCCTGGCCCTTTTGGTTTAGCATACGCTCACTAGGCATGGATCCTCTTATCCGCTGTCCTGGCTAACCACAACAAAGTGACTTCCTTCCCATTGAATTCAATGGAAAGGAAGAAAAAGGAAAGAAAGAAAACACATTACAGCCCAGATCCATGAAGGAGAATAAGCTGTCCCTTGCTCATGTAAGTCCCACCAGGATGACAACCCCAATCAAAATAAAGACCTCACAGCAGATACGTGTTAAATTAAGATTAGGAATAAAGACGGTTTAAACAGCATGATATAATGTAATGAGCAGCTATGATTCTGGAACCAAGATTCAACTTTCCACTTGGCAATGGAAATCTGCTAGATGGTTTTGGGTGAGTCATACATTGTCAGCCCCAGAAAAAGCCTGTGATACAGTTACCTTCAGGTTTCCATAAGCTGTAAATGACTTGAAGTCATGCAACAACAAATTAAATAAAAAAAGGTTTATAATACAGTATAGTTAGGAATTCTGTCTTGGTGCTGTTAGGGGGCAATTTTATTTTGGCTGCAATAGGATTAATAAGCTGAAATTTCCCTCAGATATTTGGGACTTCAATTAAGCCATTGCCCTTCTATTCCAGAGGGGTCAAAGTCAGCATATGTTCTCTTACCTCTATCTCTCCCAGAAGACAAGCAGCACTGTTTCTTTGGTCTTTCTTCAGCAAAGGTATTTTATTTGTTAAGTGCTTAAAATTGTATGACGTACGATACAAGAAATAAAAACAAGATAAGTGCCTGCCAAAACAGCTTACAATCTAAAATAAATGTAAAAATAATGGCAACAGAGTGCTCTTCAGCATAAAAATTAGGTGTTTAGTGCCCTCCCCCTCAATACATGAGATTCAGTTTGATGTGATGCATTCACAAGATAAGAGTGCATGCACACACATTGCTTCCAGAACATGATGCAAAAATGTGTCCTGGTCTCCTCTTGCAAGGTACATAAACATGCCTCTGATGTAGTGCTAATTGTTCAAAAGGCAGCAGCGATTCAGTGCTAATGGGGCCATATGGAGTCCCTGAACAATAGATAACTTTCCTCAGAAAGAACAAGTATGCTCAGGAAAGTTTATATTTCCTTCCCTTTCTGACTAATGTTTTCACTGGCCCTAAAACTTTGACTATACATCCCTTTCCCTGTCCATTTTGCCACCTTTTTTGCCCTTTAAAACTATGTCTTCATTGATGAAGATAAAGAAAGGACATTTGTCAGTGTTTCTATCTTTCCATCAAGACACACATGTTTAGTATCCTTAAAGTAAAATTATCATTGGGTTTTCTTGGCAAAATGTGTTCAGAAGTGGTTTCTCATTGCTTTCCTCTGAAGCTGAGAGAGTGTGATTTACCTAAAGTCGCCTAGTAGGTTATTGTGGCTGAGTGTGGATTTGAATTCTGATTCCCTGTACTGCTACTGCAACACATAAACCACTATACCTTATTGGCTCTCTAACTACAAAATACATATTTCAAATTTATATGCAGGAGTGACTCTATGACAACTACAAATGTTGATCATCATAGTGGGTGTTCCAGGTAGAATAGACCTATTAATCAATTATTTTTCCAGAAGTGTAGACTATTGTTGTCAAACACTGGAGCTTCTGCAATTCCAGCAAATAACAATACTGGCAGATAGATCAGCAGCTGCAACTCTTCCTTAAAAGTTTTTTTAAAAAAATCTTTTTATTTTTAGTCTGCAGGTATGCACTGATATGTATCAGCCCATATACAGAGCAGAACACCAGCATCAACTCCCCCTCAAAGACTCTATTGTTCCTAACCCTCCAATAATATGTATCTTTTTTTTATAACTTTCTGTCCACTTTATATCTTTTGCTTCCTGTCCTATTCCTATATGTATCATATGAGATACCTCAGCTATATGATTTCGGCCAAAGCAAGTCACAGGGGTCTTCACCTTGCTGCTGACCCCACTGTGGAATTTCCTGGATAGATGGGGCTGGGCATGTCCCCTGGCTGCCCCAGACAAAGATGACAATCAGGATCCATTGTGTGCACATGTAAATCAACAGATGGTTAGCGCTCCCAGTCTGATAAGTGCCAGCCAATATTTGTTCAATCAAATGTCCCACTTGGGCTAAGAGATTGCTAACCCTAAAGACATGGACTCGCAATATACATCCAAGTCTGGACCCTGATAGCACTATCCTTATCCAGGTACCCCAGACACTTGACTATCATAACCCCATCTTTATCACACAAAGTTGAACTATTATGCTAATCAGAAGCCCCCTAAGCCCTCCAAATATGGTCATAGTAACTTCCTGGGGTCGCCCCCTCCCAAAAGGGCATCCCCTACAGCTGATTAGGCTGTCAGAAACCAACCATGGCCATCCCCTCCCAGCTGGGAGAGAATCTCCACCTGGAACCAGTGACATCAGCAGACACATTTGGGGGGGGGTTGTTGAACCCTTAACCCCTGCTCCCCTTCCTCCCGGCCCTACATGTATCCTTTCTGGCCAGATTGAATAAACCTCTGCCACTTCTCTTCACCTGGTCAGTATGTTCTCTGATCTGAAACTTTGGGCTATTAGTATAATGCGTACCAGGCACAGACCCTCCATATCTGTGGTCCTAGTCTAAATTTGACTTCACTATCCATTCAGTACTTCAGCCCCATCTCTGTAATACCCCTCATTTTCATGGCAAAAAAACCCTGACATCAACATAAATGTTCTCAATTGTTCTCACTCCCTTCTAATTATTTTTCTTTCCTTGAAGTTGTAATGCATTTCTGTGGTTTCCGTTCTAGGATTCCATAGCAAAGGGACAGCATTCTGAAGCAAGTAATGGTCACCTGGTAATGGAGAAAGACAAAGTTATGTAAGTACATGCCTCAAATCTGGATGAATGCCAGGAGTATTACTATCTTACATGGACGGTGCTACAATTGTAACTGAAGCATCTAAAACCATTATAAATTAGCATTTTTATTAGATCTAAAATGATCTTGAGAAAACAGGAATGTAACAGTTTGGGAAAGAGCAGGCTCATCTGGAACTAGTCTAATTCCAGGTATCTCCTAGTCCTTGTTTAGCATTCAGCACGACACACACTACTAAGATAAAGCTATACTGCTGGTAATCAATACAACAGGGGATCTATGGCAGGGAAGCATTTGAGTCCTTTCACTGATGGTAGAATTGGCAAAGGGAGAATTTAGGGAACTAAAAAACTAACTGTCCAGATTATCTCTGGGGTGTGAGAGGGAAAACTGGATTGATACAGCTGTTGTTTGATATCTGGTTGATATCTGGTTGCATGGTATATTTCTGAAAAATAGACCATTAAGAAAAGGAGGAGGAGCAGCATCGTATAGCAAGTATGGGGAGAGCCAGGTTGAGAGTATTTGGGTAAAAATTAAGGGGGAAAGAAATAACAGGGATGTAATTGTGAGGGTTTATTATAAAACGCCAAGTGAGACTAAAGACCTAAATGATGCCTTCCAAGAACAGATGACCACACCTTCAAAAAGGAGAGGTGCAATACTAATGGGAGATTTTAACTATCCTGATGTTTGTTGGAAGACAAACTCTGCCAATAATATCAATTCCAACAAATTCCGCACTTGCCTTGGAGACAAGTTCATTGTTCAGAAGGTAGAAGAGGCGACAAAGGGATAAGCTATTTTAGGCCTTATCCTAATCAACACTGATGACCTGGTAAATGGGGTGGATGTAGTCGGTTCCTTAGGTGGGTGTGATCCTGTTCTCCTAGAGCAGTGGTTCTCAACCTATGGGTCGGTCCCCAGATGTTTTGGCCTTCAACACCCAGAAATCCTAACAACTGGTAAACTGACTGGGATTTCTGGGAGCTGAAGGCCAAAACATCTGGAGAAATGGAGATGAGTGTGATGTGACTAGACTTAATGTCAGGGGAAACCTTTACCTTTAGCTCCAAAATCATAGTGTAACACTCAAGCCACTACAACAATCTGGCTCTTTGAAGAAACACTAGTAGGTACCACTTATTTAACACAACAGCTGCAAAAAAGAACTTTGGTTCATTCTGTTTTTCCCTCGAGCTGTTTGCCACAAGGAGAGAATGGCTGCATAAAGCTGGATCATTGTCTGTTTAGATTTCTGGCTGTTTAGCTCTTTTCAGTATTAAGGGAATGTTATCTGAGCCATGCCCTTGTGATGCCCCTCAAAATGTGAACAGTTGTGCATAGCACAGATTGAATAAATGGGATTTATATGCTTACTCTCTAGCGTTTGCTGCAAATGCTTGCTGCATGGAGAATTCAGGGGCCTCAATGCAAAAGACACCCTCTGGGCACCAGATAAACCAAATTAAGGGACTGGCATATTGAGAAGCAAGTGGCTGAGGAGGCATACCTGACCCTTCTGTATCTGCAAAGGGACAAACACACATGCTGTATATGTCTTCAATGTGACTTCAGTATAACCCTATCCTAATATTTTCTTGGTCAGATTTATTTTATTCAGAGGAGGTTTGCCATTGCCTTCCTCTGAGGATGAGATAGTGTGACTTGCCTAAGGACAAGTTAGTTTCTATGACTGAGTAGGGATTCAGACACTGGTTTCCAGAGTCCTAGTACACCACACTGGCCCTTTGATATCATAATACATGATGATGGCAGGCCTATAATTAAAGGTGGAATGGATATTCAAAGTGGTGAAAATGATACCCTGGAACAATCACATCTGCCTATTTTTGTTTCATTTGATATATGCTGCCCAATAATCAATAATTCTGTAATTTGAGATTGGTTAGTGGGTGTCACATGGCCCAGGGCATGTTGCAATTTATCATTTATATAGCACACACTTAATGCACAGTGTGCCTTACCATATTTATCTTGTGGGTCCTCACATTTCTTGAGAGGAGGCAGGTCATTATCCCTCCCCACTTTATGGATAGAAAATGGAGGCTAAGAGGTAGTAAATTACTGAAGGCTGCCCAGTGTGCTCTCTACTGACCTGGGATTTGACCCAGGGCCTGCGGCTCACTATCCCACACTCTCTACCCATGGAGCCAAACTTGGCTTTTGCATGATGTCATTTGGGTGGACCAATTAATTCCAGCATCTCCTATTGACAAATCTGCAATAAAACATCAAACCAGTAAATCCTGAAGGCCAGATCATCCTACCCATGAGAAGGAAAGTTCTACAAATATTCATGTTTCAGTCCAGTTTATATCTATACATTCCAGTTGATATTTGTCATTTTGGCCGAACTCCTTGCCCAGGGCCAGAACTAACCTGAGCCATGATGTCACCTGAGGCAAATAAAGCATCCCCCCCTCAATCTGGGGGCCCTTCCACACAAGGCGGAAAATCCCACATTATCTGAGTGTGGACTCAGATAACTCAGGCTCCTGTTGTCCGTAAAACCAAGATGGCTGTGTGGATTGGGCCCACACCTGATAAGGCCTGGATCTTACCTAAGATCTGAGTCTTACCAGGTATCTAATTAATTCAGAACAAAGCAGGGAAACTCTCCTTTGTGGCAAATTAATTCGTTTTTACCAGAGGAATCATTTAGATGTCTCTGATAAAAGCGCAACAGGACCCACATTTTTGGGCTTGCCTGGAAGGGCCCTTACTCAAAAGTAGATCATGTAGGATCCATTGGATTAGTATGGTTTGGATGTTAGCAATCTCAATAACTGAATGTGGAATGACACAAGTTACCTTGAACTCCTTGCAACCCAAGCAAAGTATTACACTAAAAAGTAACTCATAAAATAAATAGGTGTTCTATCCAAAACTTTTATCAGGTAAAGAACCTTAAGGGGAATTCAGTGCAATAATTCCAAATATATCTCACACCATCCAAATGAAGATTTAAAATATAGATTCTATTTTTAAAAAATCACAAAGCTTGTGTGCCTAATTATAAAATTTACCAAATGGAAAGATCTTATCTTCATTGATGACTGGAGAATGGTGTCTTAGTTACTTCCAATATGCAAAAATGTTAAGCTAACAAATGAAAAGGAAAGCCTATGTGTGGTTTTCACCTACATTTGGTCTTCTAGATTTCCACACCGATATAACTTAGTATTTCATTATCTGCTCCAGGAAAATTGAATTTTGACGCTCTTCTCCCTAGGACTTTTTACTAAAATTCAAGTGGGAATGAATAAACTCAGGAAAGGGGGAGATTCACGAGATGGGGTTACAAGGAGAGGAAGGAAAAGGAAGATAAACTTCAAGCAGATGTTTCCTTTTCTCCAAATCTCAAACCAGTAACAAATGGGGAAATCCATGGGTTGGATTTTTCACCTTGACTTTGGTAAGGCTTCTTATGTGGCAATGTAATATATATTAAAAATCCAATCTAAACTCAATGTAATTGTTTAAAATCCCCCCTCAGTATATATGCAGTCAATATTTTTAAGCTTACTAAAATTAATTGTTAACTTTTCTTTAATACGTTACCTACATTTCGTACTGAGGCAGCTACGCTGACAAAATGTTCTGCCAGCATATCCATTCTGCCAGCTAAAACACTGTGAAATGCTTATCCTTTCCCTCACCCCATCATTGTCATTACAAGTATAAAAACAGACCAGATGAGTCAGCTTCCAGTCCCCCATGTTTAGTGAGACCTTCATTTACAGGGGGAGCATACCTTAAATACTGGGTGCTGGAAAAGGTCACCAGGTTCATGTCCATCTTGTGATCTCCCTACTGACGTCCAACTTGCTCCTGCTGAAAAAGGGATACTAGATTAAATGTCCAAATGCCTTGGTATACTGTTGGGCTCCACATTTCATCAGCCTTAGAAACAAAACTACAAAAAGTTGGACATGATGGAAGTTGTAGTTCAAAAATGTTGGTAGGTCATAGACCCCTTGCCTAAAGTGCTCTAAAGTGATTCTTAATTGGCTGGGCATGTCTATTTTTCTTATCCAAAAGGCAAAGAGTCTGTTTTCTTCCCATGCCTCCTTGTATTTCTAATTCATAACCCTTCCAGATCTCAGCTTTCTTAGGTAGTCCTTCTCTGGCCCCTTCTACACTGCCCTATATCTTAGGATCTTATCCCAGATTATCTGCTTTGAACTGGATTATACAAGTCTCCACTGTCATATAATCCAGTTCAAATCAGACAATCTGGATTTTATATGTCAGTGAAGAAGAGTCCTCAGATTCTCCTTCCACCCTTCTCTGACCTTCTCATTCTCTCACATGTTCCTCATATCAGACATAATAAACTTTCAAAGGCAATTACAAGGAGATAGATTACTTAATCTGATTCTTTGAAAATGGGTCTATTTGCATTTTCTCGTCCAAATAATCAATTGATTCCTGCATTCTTGTAGCCCAGGGAGCAAACCATCTTCCTTATGAATCTCCTTGGTCTCCCACCTTTTTGTTCTTCAGCTGCAACACTCCTCTCTTAATTGTGGGCTATCTCTCCCTAGAATAATATGCCAACACAATAGTGTCCATGGGTGCATCTAGCCTGCCAAATTAATGCAGTTTGAGACCATTTTAATTGCCAGAGCTCAATGGTATAGAATCCTAGGAGTTGTTTTACAAGGTTTTTAGCCTTCTTTGCCAGATAATGTTGGTGCCTCACCAAACTATAAATCCCCTGATTCTATGGCATTGAGCCATGGAAATTAAATTGGTGTCAAACTGCATTAATTTTACAGGGTGTATGCAAGAATATGGCCCTGGACTGCTTGTAACAGCAACCTCAAAACGGGGCCAGAACTTGGATATGATACATTCCAAGGACATTGTATAAAAAGGATGTAATAAATACATCAGTTTTCTCCACTGAGCAACCAAGATATCAAGGAAGATATTGTTTTGCCCTGTGTTTCTCTTTCTTTATAAAATAGTAGATGGGCATCTAATTTTCCATGTCAAGAGGCATGGCCATCTGCTGGGAGTGCTGTGATTGTGTTGAACTGGATGGCCCTTGTGGTCTCTTTCACCACTACGATTCTATGGCATTTACTTCCAGATTCTTTTGTTTCCGCAGAGCACAATCCTAAACCATTCTTGTTCAACCTGGTGTCCTCAAGTTGTTTTTGATTATGGTTGTGTTGTGTTGGTTTGATGTTGATAGGAATTATATTTAAATAAGTCTGGGACACCACAGATTGGAAAAAGCTACCAAAAGCCAAGAAGCGAGCTAGTTTGGTTCTGACTCTTTGAACTAGCATCAGGGTGGTCAGGCTCTTTGAAATAGCCAGATGCCAACCTGGGACCTATCCCTCCAATACATTCCAATGAAAGGCAAAGAAGCCTACATTTCCCCCAATAAATAACTTTGTGTTAGTTAATGGTTGTGGAGTTGGATGTAAAAATAATGCAGAGTGGGTTGGGCTGGGTTGGGGCTGGAAGTGGTGAAATGATGTTTGGGGAAGCTTTTGAAAGTATAATTGAGCTAATGGAAGCTCAGCAAGTGCTTCATTTTGGGGAGGGGGAGTAATTGGCTCCGGTTTTTGTCACTTGCGTCCATTTAAAAACTTAGCTTTTCTCTTCTTTATTGATTTTTCCCTTAACAAAGTGAGGCACTTAAAGGCAATTTCTGAAAGCCCCAAATGATTAATAAAATCCCATTTCCCTCTCTCATTAAAACAAAGGAATTAGAAACCACCACTTGATTTGTTTAACAATCCTGCAAAAACTTCACCGGAAGCTGTTAACAATGTCTGATTTCTTGTTGTGAAGTAATGGATCAAGAAATTTGAAACACACACACACAGAGCCATCTGAATGGGAAGTATGACGTGTATTAAGTCAACATATCTTCTACCCTAAAGGATCCTATATGATGGTTTCTTATTAGGAATGCCAGTGTCCAATTTTACAGATGTAATTCCTCTATTTTAAGGTGTCTGTTTGTCCAGCCTTAGTATTTCCATTTCCTATGTGCAGATGTGAGAGTTGGACAGTGAAGCTGATAGGAAGAAAAACAACTCATTGGAAATGTGATGCTGTAGGAGAGTTCTATGGATACCATAGATTGCTAAAAAGATAAATAAATGGATTTGAAATCCATTTTATTGCCCTGGGTTGACCATGCAATCTTTCCACCATTTTCCAGTGTCTTCTGCCTTTTCTTCCTTCCAGTAAGGACACATTTTGCCTCTCTTTAGGCAAAATGTAGCTACACAGACTTTTTACCCTTTACCTCCTTTAGATGAGATTTAGTAAGCTAGTTAGTTCCAAGACCTTTTCTATCAATAATGTATTTATTTTACTTCAATAAATATTTTTAAACATAAAAGTTCTGACTCTGCAATCCTGGTCCGTCCTAAGATATAGAGGGCTATCATAGTTCACCAAATGTAAGTTTCTACTGGTTATGAAGTTTACTTCTGGTACTCTGCTATATTTATGATGGAATCATCCCAAGTGAGGGTTATTTTGAGTCTAACAGCTCGGATTCCCCAACAGTGGATACAGAGAGCAGGCTGTATCATGAGATGATGTAACCCATTGGAAAATGGAAGGCATAGGAAAAGAGGAGGACTGAAAAATAGTCATATTTATTCAGTCAAGGAAGTCATGACCTTGTGTTTTGCAGGACTTGAGCGGGGCTGCTAATGACCAAGGCTTTTTGATATCTCACATTCATAAGTTACCCTTAGGGCCCTTCCACATAGCCATATAACCCAGTATATCAAGGCAGGTACTCCACAATATTTGCTTGAAACTGAGTTATCTGAGTCTACACTGCCATATAATCCAGTTCAATTTGGATTTTATATAGCTGTGTGGAAGGGGCCTAAGTGAAAGTCAACTTGATGGCAAATAAGAACAAATTTGTCCAGCCCATCTCACTTTAAAGCTCAAGAGTAGTTAAAGGATACAATTAAAAAGTGTGACTGAATAATTTCAGTAACACTCTAAGGAAAATGCATGACTAAAATTGTAATCCAGGTTTATGCACCAACTTTTTTTTTATGTCAGGAGTGACTTGAGAAATTGTAAGTTGCTTCTGGTGTGAGAAAATTGGCTGTCTGCAAAGACATTGCCCAGGGAATGCCCGGATGTTTTACCATCCTTGTGCGAGGCTTCTCTCATGTCCCCACATGAGAAGTTAGAGCTCAACAGACAAGAGCTTACCCCCTCCCTGGATTCGAACCGCCAACCTTTTGGTTGACTAGTTCAACCAGCACAAGGGTTTAACCCATTGTGCCATCAGGGGCTCCTATGCACCAACTGTAGATGCAGAAAAATAAGAAATTGAAAAATGTTTAAGATGGTTGGCTTTGCAGCCCTCCAAGCTCCCTAGACTAGGGCTTCTTAAATGTTTCCACTTGCAACCTTTTTCGGTAATGGAGGAGCTAGAAAAGCCCCCAAACACTTCTGTTTATGGGCATCTCTAGGTCCCCTAATGCTATTCTGGGGAATGTTTGGACTGGAAGAACACTATAGAATTATATTATAGAACATAGAAAGGCTCACAAACACTTTGGGAGGATATCTTTTGGAATATATGTTAGTGAAATTGTGAATATTGAGTTCAAGGATATGGGGGTCGTAGTATGATATGACAACCCAGAGCCAGGGAGAAAAAAAACATAGCTTTAAAAATTATTTTTATGGTTTTGAAGATGGTGAAATGCATTCAGAAGATGCATCATCTGCTACTAGGTCTTGATTCCTATGTGTGCAGTATGGAGATGTTAGTGTTGGAGATTGTAGAAAGCTCACTGGTTTTTCTCTAGGTCTTGCATTATTGCAGCCAGAGGTTGTACAATAAAAAGGCTTGTGAATCAAGGCGGTTCCAGACAGGGAAAAAGTTGGGTTCAACCCAGGTTTAAAAATCCCAGGTCAGGCCAGACTTCTGTCCCCACACGGGTAAAAAAGCCCATGCTTTCGATGGCGGGGGGGGGGGGGGGGTCTTAAAAAGTTAAAATTAATTACCTGACTGGCATTTCCCTACTGTTGGCCCTCTCCTGGCATATAGAAATGACGTGCCAGGAGAAGGAGGGACAGGAGCGATTTTCCTCCCGTCCTTCTCCTGACGTGTCAAAATGCTGGCCCGTAAGTAATTTCTCCTTTTTAAGGGGTTTTTTTGGGGGGCGGGGGCTGTCTTGGGTTTTTTGGGCTCCAGGATCCAAAAATCCCATGACAGCTCTGTGGATTGGAACTGGAACTCACATGATATGATCCCTGGGCCCAGTCCACACAGCACCCATAGCTGGAAAGACCCAGGTCTTTTCAGGTGTCTAACTCAGAACAAAGGGTTTTCCTGCTTTGTCCTGAATTATTTTCCTTAACCTGAAGCGTTGTTTGGACGCCTTAGGTAAAAGTGCCTGAGCTTGTGCGTTTTAGGCGCTGTGTGAATGTGCCCTTAGAAAACCCGCACTTCCTGACTTGCTCCAAATGGGAGGAAGGATGCAAGTGTACACACACTCTCTTATCTCCCCTCTTCCTTTCTCCTTGCTTCTGCCTTGTAGCTACACTGAACTTTCCACAGGTACCGTATCTTTGCACTGAGCCAGAGATCCCTGGGATAAGCTAGGAACGGACAGAGGTGACTGTCAAGCCTTTAAAATTACTCTCTCACACACAAAAATAGGACTCTTCTACTCTAACATGAGGTCTCTCTGAGGTCTGCATGCTTGTTTGCCTGGAAACCTGGGGATGTATGGCAATTCTCTGAGACTTCAATCAGCACTCAGATATCTGGCAACTTTATTGATAGAACAGTTGTTGTAAGTAGAGCCATGAGGTTTCAT